CAGCCTATGGGTCAGTGTCTGTAACACTTGGCTGCCAAGCTCCAGATTCAGCCTGAGGGCTGTATCAAACAGGGTAGGCTTTAAATCCTGAGTGCACCAAGCACAACTAGCTGCAGTTAGGCAGGCCAAAAAGGAAAAGCTTAGCAAGAGTCTCTTCTGCTTACAATCTCTTTGCTTGTGCAATGCCTTGGAATGTGTCTGCTACTGTTGTTCCCCACCTGTCTGCTAGTCATGCCCACCCAAGAGAGGGCCGGAGTTGGGACTGCTGCAGTGTTTGAGGACCTGATGAAAGGTAAAGTGCTGTCTGCTGTGGAGAGCTGGGAGCCTGGGCAGGCAGCCCAGGTTTGGGAGCTGGCTCTGTGACTCCTGAAGCTACAACAGGGCAGCCCCAGGGCAGCTCAGCTGGTAACCAGCTGGCTGGTGAGGTGCTGTTCCTTAGTCAAATGCTGCTGAAGTGGTGGAACTTGACTCCTGCTGGCTAATCTCTTTCAGCAGGCCTGTTCTAGACCAGGCCTGCATTTGCTGTTCCTTTCAATAGCTGAGCAGTTGGCCCAGCTGCTTGGGTAGGGGCAATAGCTCTCTGCAGAGTATTTCGGGCATTTGAAGGCTTTTTATGGCGTGGCTGACAGGCTGCAAGCCTCTTGCCTTTGTGTCAGCACAACTGCTGCACGGCAGTAACCCTGTGCAGCTGCCCTGGAGCTGGGCATCTCTGTGAGGCATGGGGGAATTTGCTTTGGAGGGTGGACCCTTCTGCTGTACTGATGTCCTTTTGTCTGTGCTGTCTGATAACCCTTGTTATGGAGGCTGCCTTGCAGCTCTGCCAGGAGGGCATGAGCCGTAGCTGTGTCTTGCCAGTCACCCTGTAGGCAGAGACATGGTGACTGGATAGACAGGGCTCGACCTCTTTGCTTTCCAGAGCTGATGCAGCTGATGATAGCAAGGGACTTTCTGTGCAAATAAGCAGGATGCTTTCTGGGTGCCTGTCCCTCTGAGGAGGTGTGTGTGTCTGGGGAACACCAAAGGCCTCTGCAGTGACAAAGTTCAGCAAAAGCTTCCACTGTGCACCTGGTGGGAGGCTGGAGAAGGGGCTGCTGTAACCCATCTCCTGTGTGGGAGTAGGACAGAGCTAGCATGCACCCTGCATGGCAGGAGCCTGGTCGTGCGGCAGGACTACCTCGTTTGACACCAACAGGGGCACAGATAATGATGCTTATAATTCTTCTCCTGCATATACTGCATTATTTTCATGTTAGGATGTTAATTTTTAGGGGATAGGATGTGTTTACTAGGCAAAGGATGAGACAAGTCTGGCTGATGCTTTCCTTTGTCAGATAAGTCTTGAGATTTTTTTTTTTTGAAGGCTCTTTGTACTTGGGGCAGGGGTTGGGGAGAAGAGGATGGCTTTTGTCTCATTTCCCCCCGTATCCCTGTGTTACATTATCTGACTGAAGGTAACCTAAATGAAGTGTACAAGGCCCTTATGTTGGAGAGGCACAGGGGAGCTTACAGCTGTCTCTGTTCCTGGCTGCCCTGATTGTGTGTGTATGTCAGGGCTGACGAGAGCAAAGCTGATCTCATTCTTGCCTGGCAGTCCTGATTTCTAGGTAGGTTAGCCACAAGTGTTCTTGACCGCTACGCTCAGGGTACAAACAGTGCCTTCACGGGGGCCACCCCACGCTTGTACTTTCCACAACAGTTAATTAGGCTTATCCTGCTTTCCAACACTGGCAGCTACCGCTAAGGCGACCACAAAACAGGAGAAAGGGGAGGAAGGAAGCATGCCTTTGCCAGCACTTCCTGCCTCTTGAGTTTTGTTCTCCCATGTCCCAGAGCTATAAACACTCCTGGTAAACAGGCAGAGTAAACGCAGAGTGCCCTGGCTGGCTCCTAGAGTGATGATAAGACTCTTCTGCTAGAGTGACCAGGAAAGCAAGAATGCTATGCCCTGCTGCAGGCAGAGGGTCGCTGTGAATGTAAAAGCAGGGCTTGTCCATGCAAAGCATGCTCTCCTGGAACTCAGCTTGTCAAGATCTCTGGGAGGACCCTGAGCCCTCCTTGCTTTGGGGAGGAGCAGAAAGCACCACAGCCGGGCCTAAGGGTGTGGGGTTTATCTATTTTTCTTTAAAAATTTTATTTAAATCCTACACTGTGTGTAGTCAGTCTTCCAGTCCAGGAACACAGCCTGACAAGAGTCAAGAGCCCACAGGAAGAATCTGCCCCTTGGTTGCCTGAATACTAAGACTGAGGTGAGGCCGCGGGGGGGGAACAACACCCATCCCTGTTGAGAGGGATGCATTTGCTGAATCCTGCCAGTTTGCTAATCTGTACTTAGCCCCCATCCCTGGCTATTCACCGGGAGTCAAAGCTGCACCACTTTATTTCCTTACAGCATCATGGTGAGAGAAAGTGGGACCTTGAAAACCCTGCAAAACAGCTGCAAGGCTTTGTGTAATAACATAGAGATTTTGATTGGAATACTAGGAAAAATTTCCTCAGGGTTGTTAAGCATTGGAACAGGCTGCCCAGGAAAGTGGCTGAGTTGCCATCCATGGAGGTATTTAAAAGATGTGCAGTTGTGGTGATTAGGGACATGGTCTAGTGTTGGACTTAGTAGTGTTAGGTTAAGGGTTGGACTCATCTTAAAGGCCCAACCTAAATGATCTGATGAACAGAAATTAAGTGATGCATGTTACCACCTCATGTCTAGAAGGTGCAGAACAAATACCCAATTGCAGAAGAGATCAGTTTGGAAACAGTAGATGTGACAGGAATTAAAACCTTGTGCAGTATCGAAAAGAGGAGTGATGGCTAAGACAGACTAGCAGCTTTGTCTTCTCAAAAAAAACTTCCCCTTGAGCTGTTCACATTAACTTCACTTGACAGAAATAGGCCATCCAAGTGACTCTGTAGCAACACAAGCACGCATGTGACACTGTTCAGCACAGCCTCAAAGGACAGTTGCAGGACATCGTGCACCCAGAAACTCTGCACAGTGTAAGAATGTGTAGTGGGTGTGTGGAAGGGGAGATCCAGGTTGTGGTGGGGCATGGGAAGCCAGCTGGGTCACTTTCCATGGGAATTTACAAGCAAAAAAGGTGCAAGACAATTTCTTCCAAACTACAGACATAAGAAATTAACCGACGTTTGTTGTACAAAATAAAAAGGTGACCACCAGCCAGCTTTGCAGTGTGCTGACAGTCACCTTCTTTGTCTCCTCACCTCCCACTCCCTTGGTCCCACTTCAACATTTACAAACCAAAGGGAACTTCTGTCCCTTATTTTCAGAAAGTCAGCCTCAAAATCTAAGCCGCATTACCTGATAACTGGCCCTCTGTTCTGGTGCAGAGCGCTAGAAACCTTAACCACACACTTCCCCTTTCCTGTAGCGTGATGGAAGTCGGAGCGTGAGGCTGGATGCTGATGGTGGGGGATACCAGGCCCTCGGGGGTCAGATAGGTACTGACCATGGGGAGCCCTCTGTGGGCAGGAGCCAAGGGATGAGGGTGAGTCCTGCCGTGAGACTGGGGGACACCACTGGGTCTGCATTCTGTGCTGGGACCCCCTGGATATGTGCACTGTCACGTCCCCACCGGCCGGGGCCCTCCCTCTGAGGACACACGCCCCTGTGGAAAGCAAACCCCCAACCCGCCTGTTTTCCAACAAACTCGGACATTTTTTTCCCCCTCAGTCCCAACTGGGCTGCTCCACCGTGGGTGCAAGCTACAAAGCCTTCCCACATGAGGGAAAAAATGTATAACTATATATATCTATGTACTCACCTTTTCTCAGCAGGCTTCAGGCTGAGGTGCGCATCCTCCTGCAGGGCCCTGTGTGTGGCTGGCTGCCAGCTGTCCCTTGTTAGTCCTGACGACCCCACAGGTGCTAACTGTAAAAACACACCTGGAAGGGCGGTCAGCAAAGCCCTGCTATCATTTTTGGAGATTTTGGTG